GATTCAACCAAATCAGGAGAATAACTCCTTTGCAAGCTGCTATACTCATTGCAAAGGGACAAAAAAAGCTAAAATCGGCTAAGATCTCAGTCGATAGAAGCACCGATTCGACTCCATTTTCACTGCATCAGCTCCACACAACTTCAAACAAAAATGCAGCAAAAATATTGAGGAATTAAGCCAACCTAGGGCATACTACTAATAAGTTCGTTTTCCTTTCTAGTTTTCACAGTTTCTTAGCAACCAAACACAAATTTCCATCACAATCCTCAAGTAAAAAACAAAATCTACTTTTCTATCAAAGGATTTAAGTATATAAAGCCACAAAAAATTCACTCACCAATGCTAAGTTGAAAGAGAGTGAGTCTTCAAGAAGGATTGTTACTGTTGGAGGCACTGGTATCGTCGCCATTGATGAGAACAAAAGAGAAGTTCGGAGACGGCGGCCGCATTGAAGGTTTGCAAACTGAAAGACAACACGTCGAAGAAGAAGATGGTGCAACTGGGAGTGTTGTTCTCAGCATTTTCTCTTATCTTCTTCACCCCAATCCCAATATGGGCTCTAAATCCCAACTAGAAAAGAAAAGGAAAAAGAAAAAGAAAAAAAAAAAGGAAAGAAAAGGGAAATGAGGAAGGAGGAAAGAGGAGGGTGGAGAGTAGAGAGAAAAATGAGAAAGGGAAAGAATGATGCCGCTGGATTGGTGTTGATGTCGGTACTGAAGAACAGGGAAATAACAAAAATGGCAGGGAAGGATGGGGGTTGAAGATAAGGGGAGGGTTAATATTTTAATTGTATATTTTTTATTAAATTTATTAAAATGATTAAATCATTATTTTCTTTTCCACGTAATTTTTCTGAAATAAAATTATTAATTCTTGGCAAGTTAACGTGCCAGGTAAGCACTTCTGTGACGGAAGGACCATTTGTGTTCTAAAAAAGTAAAGTTTAAGGATGGTTTGCGTCCCTTCTAAAGTTAAAGGATGAACTAAGTTTCGAAATGAAAGTTTAGGGACCAAATTGGGTATTAAACATTTTTCTTTTTTTTTAAGTCCTAGTAGGGGCCCAGGGTTGGTGTTGTTATGCCTCCATCACATTTGTCAAGGCACTTAAAATTATAGATATATTTTATTTAATTAATATTTATAATTTTTTTTATAATTAAAATAAATAATTATAATATTTACACTTGAGTTT